AAGGCAAAGTTGTGGGCAATCACTGCATCAATATTACTTAATCACATTGCAATATTCTCAAAACCCTCTTGTGTACTGTCGAAGCAGACACAGCTCCATTTCTATCTCAGGAAAGCATCATACCAAGTGTTGAGACTATACCAAGGCCATCAGTCCACCCCCCTTCCAGCCCCCAAAACACTAAGGGTGCTTGAAACAAAGTCAAAACCAGTTTAAGCTTCCACCTTGTTAACTTTCATTCCTTTGAACACAAAGCCCAAAGGTTTGTTCTTTTTGACCAAAATTTTTTCCTCCTCTTCTTTGCAGATTCTCCCCTCTTTCCAAAGTACTCATTAATATGGGGAGATTTCGTTATGAACCTTGTTGGATGCTACTTGATGGTTTCAGGCCAATGTGTAGGTGTACAAAAATACAAACACACACCACACACACACTTTCAGGGCCAGAAGCAGGAAGATCTGTCAGCATTTGCTGGTTACTGTCCCTTTCCCAGCTCTGGAAAGCCTTTGAAGCAGCAGCCTTGAAGAGAAACTCCTCTCTATGGAGCTGCTGAGGCTTTAACTGCCCTAAAGCTAGGTAAAATAAAGAATAAAATTCAGAATGGAGGATCCTAGTGATCTAAAGGGAAACAAGAATTCACTTTTTCCATTGGACATACGCTGGCTAACCTAACAAGGGAAAGCCAGTTCACTGTACAGGACAGGAGACAAAGCCAAAGCTTATTTTACTTTGTAATAACAGTTTATAACTACAGAGGCATGCTCTGGAATTTTCAAACGGCCCAATTCATGAAGCACTAGGAATTATGTCCACAAATCTGTGCTGTGATATGACTTTTCTAACAGAAGAAAGATCATCCTACTTTGCAAAACCTAATAGAACGAATCTTAAAATTAAAAAGGTACCACAGGATTGAAACTTATTAAATCTAAATAACATTTTTGCTTATTCTTTATGTCAGCAATTTTTATTTACTTTCTGCCAATATACACAAGAAAGCACTGTTCCAGACTATTAGGGGATTCATGCAGCGGAAGCAGAATGGAATGACTCCTTCTGGTGCAATGGAATTTAACTGCACAGTCCCTTTTTCTGTACCTTCTACCTGCAAAAATTGTTTTCAGTTAATGAGACAGCAGTGGCATAACAGACAACTCAAGCCATGACATCAACTACTAACTCAAGGGTTTGAAGGACTGACAATCCACTTCACCTGCAAAGTGGACATTACCATTTGGCTGACAGAGTACACAGAAATAATTTTGCACTGACTGCAAACGAGTACCCTGCCTACAATCCTGTGGCATCTCCTTCATTAAATAGAGGCAAGACAGCGATGGACTTTTTAACATCTACTTCTTGATCACTCCATTTACAGAATACTTCTTAATATACAGAATTCTAAAATACTAATCTTCCCCAGAAAAGACAGCGCTCAGAGATGACACTTAAATTAGTGACCAAGTTTTCTGTACCTTTTCCTGTCCTTTCACAAAATCACTTAGGGTGGAATGCAGCCCCACTAAGGGTTGAAGGGATGAAGTAGGAGAGCAAGCTGGACTAAGACTGGACATGTTTTGCAATGAGACAGCCTCCCCATTCATGTAACAGAAAGACACGCTAGGTCCATTATGTCCTGTGGTAAATCTCTTCATGAAATATGAATTTAGTGTTCATGTTGAGTCTTAGATTGATAGGTTCAGTCTGCAGTACTTCATTCACACAGGTACAGTAAGATAGCTACAGTAAATAGTTTCCTCACAAAGGTCTATGCCTGCATACATATCATTTACTCTTTAGGCTTCTGAGGTACTTGTTCATTTTGTTTAGCGCAACATGCATGCACTATGTTCATGCACAAATCCATCACACAACTCTACTATTAATTCAGTGAATCACAAGCCACAAATAAAATGCTGTGATAGAAAGCCTGAAGTGAACTGCTTTAAAAGGACAGGGACAATATTTCCTATTCACAACCACTCCACATCCAAAGAGTTTCCTAACAAGCTTTAATATTCTGCAGTATGGCCAAAGTTTTGTTACCTGTGAATCAACTACTCCAGTTTACAGATAAATCATACCAGGAGCCACTCAGGTGGAAGCTTGGATCACAATCACCGTATAACCAAGGTACTGTGCTGCACAACCGGCATGGCACGTGGGGCATGGCAAGTCCTGGAACCAGATGTACTGGGACTACTGTGCACACACATCCAAAACTAAAAACTTATCACTTCCTCTTCAACTCGCATTCAAACCGTAGTACAAGAAAATAAACTTTGGTTTACTTAGCAACATATCAATCTCCTACTGTGTGGAGTATTAGCATTGGGTCTGACTGAAGAGGATAATCCACTTTGTAATTTAGTTAAATTACTAATTTTAACAGAGATAAGTCCCCTGTATAATTTTGCAGTGCTTAAAGAATACTTCCTTTGAGTATTCCATTCTAAGAAACATCAGCTTGTTATCATATTTTAAATTTATGGAACATTTGTAACTGCTGTTATATCAGGAAAAATATTAAATCTGCACAATAAGTACAAACTTTATATGAGAAAGTATACTTGTAAGTGCATGATGATCTCCTGATGTCTGCTGAGGCACTCACTTCCACAAAAGACACAGACAACATCTCTGGGGATAAACTCAACTGCCCCAGAAAGTGCAACTCAGTTAAAAAGTAAAAATAAAAGCAACTAACAGAAAAGCAAACAAAAATCTCTCTACTCTATTGGCTGTAAAAACAGATGCTTGTCTGCATTCTCAACCAGGAGAATGGTTGAGAACCCCATCTTCCCAAAAAATGCCTTAAAAGCCCATTATACTTACAAGAGAACGTGTTATTTCTCCCAAACGTGGTTTAAACTGTGCAGAAACAAATTTTGTTTAGCACTGGCATATACACTTTGAAGTACATCTCTGCTTCTCTAGAGAAAAGAGGGCGTTTAGGCTAGTATAACAGAACCCAAACCATTCCGAACATAAAATAAATTAAAACCTACTGATTAGGAGATCTTAACAATGCACGTCCAAAGAAAGAAAACACCTATATCCAAAAAGAAAGATATGTTTTATCCTGTCTGTCCTCCAACTTTAAAACATTTTGATCATAAGAAATAGCAGACACCAAGTAGGATGTGCCTGTATTTCAATCTAGGCCAGCACGGTCCAACTGGCGCCCATCGGCTGAATCTGGACCACAGGATGCCTCCATATGGCCTGCCACCTTTTCCTTGGAGGAGATAGGGAACAGCTGTTTGAGGAGCAAATGCTGACCGAACAGCCAAACACCTCCTCCTGTGTCCGGCTGGCTCAAAGCCCAGAGCTGTCGCCATGTTCCTGTAGAAGGCAAGGAAGGAACGGGGGAAGAAGGCAGCAGACCTCCTACCCACACAAGGGCTTGAGCTCTTCATTTGTCTGAGACGGACAGACGGAACCCAGTGAAGCTTGTAGCTGCTTCTGTGACAGAGAGGGGCAGCCACAGGAATGGCCCAATGAAGCCCCAGGATCTGCCGTTATTGTCATCATAGCTAGGAGTGGGATATACCAGAAGTGACACAAAAATCAGGAATTTGGCACGCGTTTGCAAAGTCTAAACCACCTTACAGTAGATACACTAAGTGGTACAGTACAACCATAGAGTCAATCTTCGGTTTGCTGCCAGCAAAAGATTAATACAATATTTTGGCCCTCAAGGAGAGGAAAAACACAGGAAGGCATAAATATATTCCATTATTAACTGCCTATTGATTTATTATTGATCAGGCAGAACAACTCAGGCGTCGAAATTCAGACAAAGCAAGTTAAATAGCAACACTATTTTACTTTTGTAACTACCCACTCAATGGAATTTTAAATCTCTCCTTAAGGTGATATGTATAGTAGACGAGTAAACAAAAGGGAAGATTTTATAGGGTTTACAACTGTGCCATCTTTTTTCCACCCATTTTTTACACTGTCACTGACATCACTTCTGAAAAAAGCTATTTGATTGGCATGCTGATGAGTATAAATCAAGTAGATGAGAAAACTGAGAACCATAAGGACCTACCTGGTAGATGATCAAAAGTGTATTCTGCTTCCAAATACATTTGGTTTTGACTGCATATTGGTTGAACTCTTTAGAAGCATTAAAATATTCTCTATTATATCAACTTAAAAATAATAAACAATTTCCAAACATTTGAATACTTTAGAGTGTTTTAAAAGGCAATATACTTGTCTGCATTCAACTCAAACATGATTTAGCACATGAGAGTTAAATGGTGGTATTTTAAAGCCAAGTACAGAGAGACACCAGACGTTCTACTTCACGCTGACCTGGAAAATCATATGCTTATTGGAATAGGATAGATCAGAAACAGTAGAGAAAAATAAAGTAAGAGCAGCATAAGTCATATTGAAAGTATCATCACAACTTCAAAAATTGGTGTCAAAATTAAGCTAGAGATGTGAAATCTCACCTAATATACCCAATACTGAAGAGTCAAATGTGATACCAGATTTTAAAGATGCTATAACATTATCTTGAGATTTAGAACTTAATGTGTTAAAATGTCCTAACTAAAATGATATTCCAGTGCCCAACAGCTAATAACTGGATTTTAGAATTTCATTCATGCTAAATCAATTAGTCAAATTTTATGTGAATAATAAATCAAATTTAGTATCTGATCAAAAGGGATTACAGCCTCCAGGAAATCAAGTTCTCTGTCCAATAGTACACACAAACAGATCAAAACATCTTTGGATAGAGTACGGCAAGGATTGTATTCACAATGGGACTACCACAATACTTTCACAAGCACTGTCCAGATGTCAATACACATCGGCCCACTTCTGGAGCTTGTCCGGGTCCCTCTGGATGGCATCCCATCCCTCAGATGTGTGAGTCACCTCACAATCACATCAGCCAGCTCCCTCAGCACTTATGGGTGCCTCCCATCAGGGCCCATGGACTTCTGTACATTTGGCTTGCTTAAGTATTGCCTGACCTGATCCTCTTCCACCAAGGGTACATCTTCCTTGCTCCAGCCTTTCTTTCTGGTGCCTGGGACCTGAGATTCCTGAAGGTTGGTCTTACTAGTAAAGACTGAGGCAAAGGTGGCATTTGATACCTCAGCTTTTTCCATGTTCTGTGTCACCACATCCCCTGCCTCATTCAGCAGCAGGCCCACGTTTTCCCTAGTCTTCCTTTTGTCACCTATGTACTTATGGAAGTTCTTTCGGTTGCCTTTGACATCCCCTGCCAAGTTCAAGGAGTGGATGAAGCCTTCTACAGACAGGAAAACAAGTGGGCATCTTGTCTTCCCAGGAAACAGTGACGCACGATGGAGCCCTGCTTTCCTGGAGATGGCTGAACACCTGCCTGCCGATGGGAAGTGGGGAATGAATTCCTTGTCTTGCTTTGCTTCACGTGTGGCTTTTGCTTTACCTATTAAACTGTCTTTATTTCAACCCACGAGTTTTCTCACTTTCTCTCTTCTGATTCTCTCCCCCATCCCACCGGGAGAGAGTGAGCAAGTGGCTGTGTGGGGCTGAGTTGCCAGCTGGGGTTAAACTACAACAATCCTTTTTGGAACCCAACGTGGGGCACAAAGGGTTGAGATAACAGATCTGACCAGAGCGCATTAGAACAAATTTGTTATACGCATTCATTATATTAGGTAAATAGTCACTGGTTACAATGTTGATTCATTCACTCTCAAAGTTGTTGCACTTGTTCTCACAGTTGTGTTATGTAACACCTTACTTGCAATTTATGTTCCCTGTTGGGCTCTTTATTTCCTCTGAGAACTGGGACAAGGTTATCATTGTGGTGTACTTTGTAATACTGACTTATGATATGATACACTTGGTGGTGGTAAGACTAATGCAGCATTGCTGTCACCTCCGTACTCAGGGAGCCATCTAACAGAAATACCTTTAAATTGTTGTAACCCAAAATTTGAGTTGCATGTTATGGGAATTACTATAACAAGAACCCCTTGTTGCTACCAGGCTAGGAGCAAGGGAGAGTTCAATGCAACGTTAAATCCTCTAACCTGGCCCAAAGGGACCAGGGGTGGAGACTGTAATGGAAATACCTTTAAACTGTTGTAACTCATGATTTGAGTTGCATGTTATAGGAGTTGCTATAGCAGGAACCACCTGAACCAATGGAGAACAAGCCTTACAAGAAGCAGCATGAGTGCAGCAGTGACCCAGCTTGAGCTGGCTTTAACAGCCAGTAACTACACAACACACCACATCTCCTGTTCTGAGTAACCAGCATAACAGATGGAGCCCAAAGTTATGGACTAAATGAAATCAGTGGACATTTTTTGGACATTTGTGGACATTTATGGACATTTTACAAATATTTCACAGTGGTGGTCCATAGACTAAGGGCACATATCTGCATATTACAGCAAAGGATGGGAAGTGGGGGTGGCGGTTAATGAGGTTGTATTGATAATGTGGTTCCTGAGCATGACATAAATGGTATGGAATAAGAGATGTACAAAGTGCTAGTTTTGGCTGGAATAGAGTTAATTTTCTTCATAGTAGCTAGTAGGGGCTCTGTTTTAGATTTGTGCTGAAGACAATGTTGATAGAATTATAGAATGGTTTGCGCTGGAAGGGACCTCAGGGACCCCCAATAACACAGAGATGTTTTAGTTACTGCTGAGCAGTGCTTACACAGAGACAAGGCTTTTTCTGCTTCTCAGGGAGTAGGCTGAGGGTGCACAAGGAGTTGGGAGGGGACACAGCCGGGACAGCTGACCCCAATGACCAAATGGATATTCCATACCATATGGCATCATGCTCAGCATATAAAGAAGTGATTTTGCTTTGGTTGCGTGGCTTTTGCTTTACCTATTAAACTGTTTCTATCTCAACCCACGAGCTTTCTCACTTTTACTCTTCCAATTCGCTTCCTCGTCATGCCGTGGGGGAAGTGACTGAGCAGCTCTGTGGTGCTTAGTTGCCAGCTGAGGTTAAACCACGACAACTACAAACAGGCAGCTGATGCAACTGAAAGTCAAACACGAAGACCACTGCATATTCTTTTAAAAAAAGGTTCAAACTTGGTTATGTTTTCTTTAGGAATATAATCTCACTGTGAGTGTCTGTAAACCATATGGCTCCCTCTTGTGCCTATTATACCACATTTCAGCATACAAAAAATAATTTAACATTAAGCCATAAATATTTGGGCTCTGTTCACCCTTCAGTAGGCACGCAATGCCCATAAATGTTAATGGAAGTCACACATATGCCTTCCAGGGGAAGAGAAAACCCTGCAGTTTACAAAATTTCTCTTTGGAACAAAGTACAAAAACATCTTGTAAACTACAAGTCTGCTGCGATGAAAGTACTCTTTTGACCATTTGCTGTATTTTGATAGCAATGCAGAGGCCAAATGCATCTTTAAAGTACATCTGTAAGAACTTTTAACTATTTTTTAGTTATCAAATTACATATGTTTAGAAAGGTGTCAGTGTGGTTTATAGAGACTGGCTAACGTGCTCAAGGGTTTATTTTTGTCTACTCAACATCCCACCTGTTTCTGCTTATCAAACCAGACTACAGTTTAGCTTGCAACAGCTGTGAAATTCATAAATCTGCCCATTCTTCATGTGTATCCAGACTAAGCACTTGGAAAAAGAGTTAGAACTACAGCGTTCTGAGAAAGCCACCCTTATGGAGAAGCTAGGGAAATAAACCAGACCAGCTCTTGTCAAACAACGTGTAAAACTGCACACCTATCAGAACCAAATTATTTTAATAACAGTCTAGCAATTCTATTTGGAAATAAAATTAAGTATTTCAAGAAATTGCTAATTTGTTAACCCTTTTATTCCCCTGGCCATTAGAAACATTTTACAGACTAAAAACGCTGCAAAGGAATTAAAATATTTTGCCTGCACAGAATACTCCCTTTTTCAGTGTCTTCAACTATCAACAAAACACCTTTTATTTCAAGATGCTACTAGTTTTACTTTCTGCAGTAGAACAGTTACCAGTAAATACAGTTATCTGATTTTGGTATTACAAAAAGAGTATTTGTAAATTTAAAAAAAAATATAATTAATCTGCATACCTGAAGCAATATCAAAATCCTGGTCACACAGGACAGCTTTCATTAAAACACTTATGCTAAAGCAGTAGTAGTACTAAATGAAACAATGGTATACAAAAATCTAACGTTCACTTTCATAAAGCTTGCAGAGTACACTTCCTTTAATAGGAAAGTGGGTTTGCTTTGTTTTTTTCCATTTACGTAACAAATTTTTGTCTCCCCACCACTTCTTCCCTTTTCCATATGCTCATGAATTACCCTTAGCACTAATATTTTGTGGGTCAACTTTGTTCATAAAATGGTAAGAGTGCATGCAAGATGATACTAAAATTCATTTCAGCTTTTCCGAATAATGAAAAATAGTACTTTGTTTTAGGGAAGAAAGAGGCTTTTTTTTTTTTTCTATGAACTTTTTTTCTCCACCATTTCATAAATTACAGGCTCTTATTTTTGAGAGCAGAAACAGAAATAAAAAAGTTTTAAAACTTTTCCATGAGTTTTCATCAAAAGCATTAATAATAGGTACCCAGTACATTAACCTGACATTCCTGGAGGCAGGTGAAATTATGTATCTTCCAAACTTGACATTTACTGAATACTAGTAAAGAAACATTCAGCTGAAATTGTGGTTATGTGGCAGTGCTGAAGCATGGCATCAAACAACCAGAACATACCTAAAATTTACCTAATATTTATTACCACTCATTCTCCAAAGAACAAGTAAATAAAGCAAATTGTTCCTACTTGATCTACCTTCATGCCTACGCCCAACATGAAACAACAGCTACATTATACAAGAACATAAAACAAGCAATAAAAGCATTTGTCAGGAGAATAAAAAAAAAAATCTGGTCTAGATTTCTGATCACAAGTGACTAGAACCTACATTTTAACAGTTCATACAAAAGGCAACAGTACAGTATTAAACATTTTCTCAGGTACACTAATATAAAGCTCAAAGATAGCCATTTATTTCAACACTCTT